TTTTTTTCTCTTTGTATTTTAGCATGCTTTTAAATTCACTAATTTTCAGTTCTGTAGAGACTGATCTGCTATAATTTCATCTATTCCTTCTTACCTAGCTAGTGACCAAAGAAGTGAAATAGCAGCAGTGATTTAAAAATAAATCTTACACATACTTAAAATAAAGGTATAAGGCCAGGCATGGTGGCTCATGCCTGTAATCCCAGCATTTTGGGAGGCCGAGACGGGCAGATTGTCTGAGGTCAGGAGTTCTAGACCAGCCTGGCTAACATGATGAAACTCTTTCTCTACTAAAAATACAAAAAAATTAGCTGGGCACGGTGGTGCATACCTGTTGTCCCAGCTACTCGGGAGGCTGAGGCAGGAGAATTGCTTCAACCCGGTAAGTGGAGGTTGTAGTGAACTGATATCATACCACTGTACTGCAGCCTGGGCAACAGAGGGAGACTCCATCCAAAAAAAAAAAAGGTATAAATGTATTGGTCACAAATAAAATATGTAAGGACTATTAATTTAGAAATGTATAAATAGGCTGGGTGCAGTGGCTCATGCCTATAATCCTAGCTCACTGGGAGGCTGAGGGCAGAATCACTTGAGGCCAGAAGTTCAGGAGCAGCTGGGCAACGCAGCAAAATCTCTATAAAAATTTTTAAAAATTCGCCAGCCATGCTGGTGGATGCCTGTAGTCCCAGCTACTCTGAAGGCTGAGGCAGGGGGATTGCTCAAGCCCAGGAGCTCGAGGTTACTGTGAACTATTATCATGCCACTGGACTGCATCCAGGTAGACACAGCAAGACCCTGTTTCTCAAACAATTTAAAAAATAAAGAAAGAAATGTGTAAGTAGTTTTTTCAATACCTTCTTTATTATGTCTATAAAATTATATGGAGCACTGGAAATATTATTGAATATGACACCAATGACGTGCTATTGTATTTTTTTAAATTTTGACTTCTTTTAAAGAAAGTGATAACAATCTGTGGAAAATGCTTTTACTGTATCATGCCAATATACTGCAAGGAGTATTTCAAAATAATATAAAAGTAATTCACAGACTTAGATTAAATGAAGATCAAATGATCCAAAAATTTTTCTTCCTTAGTTTTTCACAGCAACTGCTAAAGTCCATAAGCTGATTTTTCCAAGAAAATTATTCTAATAATTTTGAGTGTTCAATCCGTGCAATGGTCCAGTCAGGCTTTACTCCTTGTGTGAACTCCCTCTGAAACCTAGGAAAGATATTGCAAATAATGTAAATCTTACATCAGTCCAAGTATGTCTTCGATAACTATGTAATTTGCAAGTGTATATTTAGAAGAATTTTTGGCAACAAGCTAATGGTTAATATTAAATCAAAATCAAAACAAATAAAAAGTTTAACCTACCCATTCAATCACAATAAATATACCCACAAAATTGAAGTACATTCTCAAGTAGTGTGAGTATTTTTAAGGGACTAATCTATATTCAACATCTGCCAGCCCCTAAGAGAAACTTGGATATTATTCTGTTTAAATACTAGCTATAACACATGCCTAATATGAGGAGAAATAAACTGGACTCTGGTGATGCAAACAGCACTTTAAATACATAACCTAGGATACAGGAAAAAAGCTGTTTTTCAAATAGCACTGTTACCAATTTAGGAATAAATAGTGGAATTTAGTTTACATACGTTAAATCAATCTTGAAAATAACAATGTTTATGAGGTACCCACAGTCTTAGTAAGAAACATCAGAAAAGATAAGGTTTAGTATTGATGACAGTGCTCTTTAAAAATGATTTCTTAACAGACAATTCAGTAGATTTAAATTAAGTATTTAAATATATAGAATATTTTGGGTAATTACAAATAAAGCAAAATTTAAAAAACACATTTCTACCAAGAGAAGCAAAAAAAAAAAAAAAAAAAAAAAGGATATGATTCTCTTTTACCTTAGTAAAACAGAATGCATTTTATTTCTTAGGTCATTTTGGGGGTTTGTTATTTTAAAGCAGATTTGTGTAACTCTGGCAACATAATCATTTTTTTAAAAATAAATGTCAAATTATATCTTCACTGACATGCTCCAGCAGTTTACTGTTGTAGACTTTATTCACATAAAAATACAATATAATGTCTCTTTTACATAACCTGCTAACTTCCTACTATACAGTTTGTCCTTAAGGGCAGTATCCCTTCAACTTTGCATCTGAACCTCTACCAGAGCATGTGGGCACACAGATGATCAACAGATGTCTAGTGAATAAATCGTTCATGTACCAATTATGGCAGATTTTATTTTCCAAAAATGGCCACAACCATATCTCCCCCCTATGTGTTCTTCTGCTATGTGACCTTGCTGTTTTTTGCCCCAAAAAGCGGGGGACTCTTTCTCTACCCTTTAAACTATACAGATCCTTTGACTGCTTTGACAAGTAGACTATGGCAGAACTGATGTTCTAATTCTGGGCACAGACCTTTACTGGTTTAGCAGCTTCCATTTTCTGCCTCCTGGAATTCAACCACTCTGTGAAAGATATGACTAGTCTGAAACTACCACAAGTCCAAGCCACAAAGAGAGGCCCTGGAGAATGCAGAGTCATGGAGAAGCCAAGGAGTACCAAGGTGCCACACGTGAGTTAAGAAGTCACTGTGGAAATGAATCCTCCAGCTCCTGCCACCCGTGTTGATGCCAGGTGAAGCAGATAAAACCCCCTAACTGAGCCTATCCAAAATTTCTGAGCGTGAAATAGGAGGCAAAATCAATGGCTGTTTGAAGCCAATGAATTTGGGAGTAGTTTGTTAAGCAGCAATAGATAGTTAAACATCATTTAATTAAATTTAGCAACATTACCTCTTTCTAATTTCTTAACTCTCCTGTTTCATATCCAGTGTGTCTTTCTGACCTTTTCTCTTCATAAATAACTTGTCAAATTTCAATTCTTTTCTTCCTAAAGATCTCTTAATTTTCATACCTTCAAACTACCTTCCATCTTCTGGAGAAAGGAAACAATGAAATCTGATTAAACTTACTCATAGCTTGCACTAAGAAGTTGTTTAGTTTCCACATTCTGATTCCCCAACTTAACCTGGAATACACTGGCTCCTCTTAAAGTTTCACTGGGGATGTTGGCACTGGTTAGATACCAAAAGCACATCAGGATGTTAACAAACTTCCTTCCTTAGAGAAAAAACATATACACACACATACAAATACAAATCAAAATAATCTATCATCCATATATACAAAATGAAATCAGAAATTGGCAGTAGTCATACAGTTGTCACAGGTCAAATTTTGTGCTTATTGTGATGTGACTTAAAATACTTGTATTGATACTGTTTTTAGAAAATTGTCTTAGGGTTTATGGCATACTTGCTCTCTTCTCTGTATCTCAGTAAAAAGCTACTACTTAACTGAGTACATACTTTACTAAGTATACTACATGGATTATTTTCAATTAGTGGCATTTTCTTTTTCTTTCTCTTTTTTTGACACAGTGTCTCACTCTGTCACCAGGGCTGGGGTGCAGTGGCACAGTATTGGCTCACTGCAACCTTCGCTTACCAAGCTTAAGCAATCCTCCCACCTCAGCCTCCTGAGTAGCTGTGACCATAGGCACGCACCACCACGCCCGGCTATTTTTTCATATTTTCAGTAGAGCCTGGGTCTTGCCATGTTGCCCAGGCTGGTCTTGAACTTTTGAGCTCAAGTGATCTGCCTGCCTCAGCCTCCCAAAGTGCTGGGATTACAAGTATGAGCCACTGCATCTGGCCAGGCATTTTCTAAGATTATAATAATCTCATGACAGATATGTGTTGTCAAACCAAAAACGAGGAGAAAAAAAATATTTTTTGCTGCTCAGTAACTATCTTAACTTCAACTGCCAGAAAGAGTAAAGGCTTTCTATTCTACCCTAATTAACCTTGCTGTGCCTGGTGATTCCGACAACCTCCTGATGCAAAAGTTAGTGACCATGGTGCTGAGATGCAATTTGAAATATTAGGGAAGAAGAAAATATTTATCACTAAAAATGTCTTTACAAATGTTTCAAAATAATGTGTGCATGAAAAATTTTATCATCATTAAGAGTCTCTTTCTTCTACCTTGGGAAGTGTTTAAGCAGAGTCTACATTTCAAGTGTGGCTGGTACATAATACATATGCAAATAGAGTCATCCCTCGAAATCCATGGAGGATTAGTTCTAGGACCCTCCTGTGGATACCAAAATCCACAGATGCTCAAGTCCTTTATATAAAATGGTGTAGTATTTGCATAACACACATCCTCCAGTATACTTTAAATCATCTCTAGATTATTTATAATACTTAACACAATGTAAATGCTAATGTAAATAGTTGTTATACTGTATTATTGAGAGAATAATGACAAGAAAAAAACTGTACATGTTCAAGTATAGATGCAACTGTTTTTTTTTTTAATATTTTTTATCCGAGATTGGTTAAATCTATGGATGTGAAACCCCCAGATACAGAGGGCCAACTTTGTATGTATCAGGAATAAACAGTGAATTATCAGGAATGCTATAGGGAAAATGTATGCCTCAGACAAGAAGAACCAGATAACCACTAAACTTCCTCCCAATTTTTTTCATTATTCTCAACTAGATCCAATTTGGGAGTTCTGCAGTTAATCTTTTCAAATCATCTTTAGTTGACAATATCTAATTTGATTTTCTTTTACCCCTCATTCCTTCCGTATAAGGTGCAGCTTTAAAATACTCAATTGTTTCCTTCAAGTTACTATTTTATTGAATAAAAATAAAATAAATAAATAAGTAGTAGCAGAAAAAAGTTCTAGATAGAAAGGCTTAAGAAATGATGACCATGTCTCAACTCTTTCAGAAGTAGGTCTTTAAAGAATGGATATAACATTTTCTTTGAAGTTCTATAAATATCTACTTGTCCTGACAAAACTCTATTTTGTGATTATCCACTACTTTAGCTTATCTGGACGATTATGGATCATTTCAAGTTGACTATGCTCTGGTATTACCTTTCTCATCATAGTAAATGGAGATGTCTCCTGTTGATGTAAATACAATTTCATCTATGTTAGCAGCAAGGGCATTTTTATGGTTGTCAGGTAGTGAAGTAACCTTTTCTTTCAATACATGTAGCACCTAAGTTTGAAAAAAGCAAGCCATTAGTTCACCAATACCATTTTTGAAACCTTTCAAAAAGTGATCTTTATCATGGAATACATTTTTCCAAACCTATTTTTAAATTTACTACCGTATTTACTCATCCTCAAAAGCAAGGCTGAAATGTATCTCATTATTCAATTAGGTAATTCCTAACAGAACATTCTATATAAGAGCAATTGAAAGACATCATGATTACTTACTTATGCCTTAAGTAGCAGGAGTTATTCCATGCTTTTATATGACTCAAAGTACCCATAAGAACAGATACACAGACTCTACTTTGGATGCTGGCACACATGTTATTTTTAAGCATAAATAAGGAAAATGTGCATCATTCTATTGCAAGAGAATAACATTTATTTTTAAAGCAAAATGTAAAATATACTTTACCTCTTTGGCCACAAGTTCTTCCAACAGATCAAATTTACACTGTGACAGCAACTTGGATACATGAGCAAAAGCCTTGAAAAAAATATTAAGGGAAGTGTGGGGATTATTATTGCAAAATACCATACCATGTTCATATTTAAATGGCTAAGTGTAATAAAGACTATTTTATGGTAATGGTGATAAACATCATCAAATATTAATTTATCAAGGCATGACTCCTTCAAGGTTGGTTGACTTTTTGTATATGGCCTTGCCACATATATAGCAGTAAGTGACTTGACCTTTAATTCTGGATCCACCTTCAGGACCTGGGAAATGACAGCGTGTTGTGTACAATCTAGATGTCTCAATAAAAATCCTCCTTTATATTTCTTTTTAAAATGATGACGTAAACAATCATTTGACAGCTGTATGACCCACCTCTTAATCATGCACAGATAGCAGTTGGAAAGGAGAACAGTCTAGATTGCACTGGGAGTCTGGAAATCTGGGCTGAAGTCTGAATCTCAGTATGGGAGATAATGCAGGTTTGAGAAAGTGGGAGAAAAGGTCATTAGTTTATATGGTCTAAAACAGTAGATCCTAGCTTTGAAGTGTGAAATTCCATTTTCAAGGAGGGAAAATCCCAACTGCAATTCTCACTGCTAGCAATGAGAAATTAAACTGTGAATTAACATCCTACCTGTCTTTAGGGAACTTTCAGTCCACTTGGGAAAAAGACAAGTAAACTGACAAGTTTAGGAATTTTGACAGGGATAAGAACAGGATGACTTGGGAGCATACAGAAGAGCCTTCTAACCCAATCTGAGAAGATCAGAGAGGGCTTCCTAAGGGAAGAAACATCTAAGCTGAAATCTGAAATAAGCTGAAATCTAGGCTGCCAGAGGATGCACAGGCATGTCAGATATGGCATATCAGAGAATACTACCTAACTGTTATAGGGTGAATTGTGCTCTCCTTCCCCCAAAATTTATGTTGAAGCTCTAATCCCCAGAACCTTGGAATGTGACTATATTTGGAGATAAGGCCTTAAAGAGGTGATTAAGTTAAATGAGACCATCAGGATGGGCCAAAATCTAATCTGACTGGCATCCTTAGAAGAGGAGCAAATGTGGAGTAAGAACCACCAGGAGCACACATGCACAGGGAGGACCATGCAAGGACACAGCAGGAAGACGGCCATCTGTAAGCTGAGAGATGCCTCAGGAAAAAACCCCTCCGACACCTTGATACTGAAATTTTGGTTGTTTGCTTTATATAAGCAACACTGCATACAGACTGGCTGATGAATGGGGTGGAAATACTACTTAATAGCAAGGAAGGAGGTGAAAATAGCTAACAGCTGGAGAACCACTAGGACTGGAGTGACTCCAAAAATGCTGCAGGCTCCTCTATGTGTTCAGAGGAAACAAGTACTGAGGCCTGATTCCTGCCAATGGTGGGGCGATGATTTCCAATCCTTACTGAAACATAAATGAACTGGTACCATCATATGTGTTATGAGGTGGACAAGCTCATATATCATTGGTGGGCACTGTAAAGAACAGGAGGATCAATACAACTTACCACTGCATGGACAAAAGATTTTAAGAACTGACAAGAGCAGAGATTTACCCCTTAATTATGATGCTGAGTTAAGCATCTTAATCAAGCTCGTTCTTTGACTTTTTTTATGTAAATATATATAGTAGTCAAGAGTTGACTCAGAGAAGCAGGCAGCAGGAGTTAATACTGACACTTATTACATAAAGTTGAAAACATTTGATTTACAACTGATAGGTCTCAAAAATACAAATGGCCATGATTATGGAAAGAATCTGAAATAAATTTGGAGTAAAAATATCAATACCAGTATACAACCAATATTGTAAAATGATTACACCAATGGTATGGTTTTAAGGCATATGGAGGTATGAAGCAGGAAATAAACTTTATGAATTCTATTGTGGTTTTTGTTTTTGTTTTTTGAGACAGAGTCTCGCTCTGTCGCCCAGGCTGGAATGCAGTGGTGTGATCTCAGCTCACTGCAACCTCCACTTCCCAGGTTCATGCGATTCTCCTGCCTCAGCCTCCAGAGTAGCTGGGACTACAGGGGCGTGCCACGGCTAATTTTTGTATTTTTAGAAGAGACGGGGTTTCACCATATTGGCCAGGCTGGTCTCGAACTCCTGACCTGTGATCCACCTGCCTCGGCCTCCCAAAGTGCTGGGATAACAGGCGTGAGCCACCATACCTGGCCGACTTCTATTGTTATCAATAGTTTTGCAATGTTTGGGAACGATACAATCTGTAAAGGAGTCAAAAAAAATAAAAAAAAAGGTATACATGGCCCTTAATCCTAGGAAAAAAGCATGTACCCACGAACTCTACAAATAACCTCAGGGCCCAAGTGACCACTGTCATAAGGGTAAGGCAAGGTATAATCAGCCATTCAGAAACAGGTACGTAACTAACGAAGTCAGGGATAAGAATCTCTAAAGGCTAAATATTTTCTGTGTGTAGGGTGCTGCGCACTTAGCCACCAGGCAGTCTCAGCAAACCCTTTAAAAGGGTAAAACTGCTCATCTCCAGTTTAATCTTTAAGGAGTATGGCGTGGTGTGTTGGTGGACTCTGTCAAATAAACGGCAGAAAGTTCTGCTCTTCTACCCAAGGTGACATTACAGCACTTTGGAAATGTTATCTCATTTATTCTTCAAACTTACCCATTTATTAATGTATTCAACAAACATTCATGGAGGGCCTACTATGTGCCAGGGATTGTCTTGCCCACTTTGTAGATTTGAAAATTATGTTCAGACAATATGAGACCATATAGCTTTTTCTTTCTATTTTTTGAGACAGGGCTTGGCTCTGTCTCCAAGGCTGGAGTGCAATGGCACCATCACAGCTCACTACGTCCAACTCCTGGGTTCAAGCGATCCTCCCCTTCAGCCTCCTAAGTAGCTGAGACTACAGGCATGTAGCCCCATGCCTGGCCAGAAGCTTACTTTAAGTCAAGCAATGGCTGGAAGGCTCTATGTCTGGGCCACTAATCAGTTTGGATCACTTGTATCCCAGTGAAGAAACTAAGCACTTCTGCGAGTAATAGTCGAACTCATTAGAGACAGACAAGTCAACCAGGAAAATAAACAAACCTGCTTCGCTCCCTCAGAGAACTCTGCGATGCTGAACTCTTTGTCGAAATAGGCCCAGATAAGGAAGGCCTTAATTCGAGTCCTAACCCAGTTGATAGGGTTGGAGAATCCCAGGACGATCATCTTGGTTTTCTGGTGCTGCTGGGGCTTCTCCTCCGTGCTGTAGCTGCGCTGAGGGCAGGCAGGGAAAGCAGCGAAGGCTGTGGGGAGTCCCGGGCGGCTGAGCACTGGCCGCCGGGAGCCCTGGGCAGGTAGCGCCGAGGCCGCCAAGGCCCAAGCGCTTCGGGGAAATGACGCCGCTCCCGAGCCGAGGCGACAGCGGCAGAGGTAGCAAAGTCTGGCCGACGGCAGCCTCACCTCGGCCGCAGCGGGAGTCCGGAGTCGGACGGCCCCGCAGGTCAGCGACCGAGAGTGCCGCAACTGGGGTAGCAGACGAGCGGCCAGCGCCATTTTTATGTGACCCTTCACCCCGGTGCCTGCTGGTGCTGTATGGAAAGGAAGTCGGTGGGAAACCACCTCAGCGGTGTCGGAGAAAGAGACTGGAGAGCAAAGTGGACTTGTTGCTGCAGCCTCTGGTGAGTCGGCCCCGTCCCCGCTCTCCAGCACGCAGCCCAGGCCGAGGCCCTTCGGCAACCCGCCCCGCGCTCGGACCCAGCCTCTCTGGAGTCCGCCGGCCTCGCGGACCTTTTCTCGGTCGCTCGTGTTTCCGGGCGGATGGCGCTGAGGAACGCTTTAGAGCCGAAGTTGCGAGGACCTGGAAGAGGGCAGGCGTGAGCAACCATGGCCGGGCGGCACCTCCCGGTAACCCGGCTGGAGGGCGTTTCTCGGGAGCAGTTCATGCAGCACCTCTACCCACAGGTGAGTCTCTTGCGCGGGGCAGAACCCCGGGAAACCAGCGGGAGACGCGTCTTTACCATTTAGACGACGGGGAACTGGTTTTTAGAGACCCAGGGTGTGGGAAAGAGGCGCAGGACGGCAGCAGATGACTGGTTGGCCCTTAGGCCAAGGGAAAGGTGCACGTGGGACGCCGACTGGCTCCTCTATTGAAATTTCCGGAGAAAGCCCCATGTTTCTGGGGAGTAAGATGATGGCGGAGAGCTGAGTGTGAGAGGTATTTTGCCTAAACTCTTTACTCCGTATCTGTCAGTCTATTCCAAATTAATGGGTTTGAAGGCACAACTTTTCACTCCACTGAGCCAAAAAGGAAAGCAATGGGATTCCCCCGGGAAATTCCTACTTGAATTCTAACTAACTTAGGTTCTAGTTCCGACGTTGGAGTCTTTTATACCTGTAGTTAGAACCTTAGGTCTTTAAAAGAAAACTCAGAGAAATATTAGGGGAACAAAAAGTGCTTTTACTTGTAGTGCTTTACAAGGGAGTCCAGACCTAAGAAAAACAGAAGGTGTTAAAAGGAAAAAATCTACAGGATTACAGTCAGTTTATGGTAGGAAAAATACTCAGCAAGCCGGGCGCGGTGGCTCAAGCCTGTAATCCCAGCACTTTGGGAGGCCGAGACGGGCGGATTATGAGGTCAGGAGATCGAGACCATCCTGGCTAACCCGGTGAAACCCCGTCTCTACTAAAAATTACAAAAAACTAGCCGGGCGAGGTGGCGGGCGCCTGTAGTCCCAGCTGCTCGGGAGACTGAGGCAGGAGAATGGCATAAACCTGGGAGGCGGAGTTTGCAGTGAGCTGAGATCCGGCCCCTGCACTCCAGCCTGGGCAACAGAGTGAGACTCCGTCTCAAAAAAAAAAAAAAAACAAAAACAAAAACTCAGCAATTTTCTTACCTGATATTTACACTTCTAAGGGTGGACATAGAACTACAGTTCTGGGGCCAGGCACGGTGGCTCACGCCTGTAATCCCAGCACTTTGGGAGGCCGAGGCGGGCGGATCACCTGAGGTCAGGAGTTAGAGTCCAGCCAGTAGAAATCCCGTGTCTACTAAAAATACAGAATTAGCTGGGCATGGTGGTGGCACATACCTGTAATCCCAGCTACTCAGGAGGCTGAGGCAGGAGCATCGCTTGAACCCGGGAAGCGGAGGTTGCAGTGAGCCGAGATCGCGCCACTGCATTTCAGCCTGGGCAGCAAGAGCGAAACTCTGTCTCAAAAAAAATAAACACTACAGTTCTGAGTGTTACAAAAGTCAGGGATGGGCCGGGCACGGTGGCTAATGCCTGTAATCCTAACATTTTGGGAGGCCCAGGTCGGTGGATCACTTGAGGTCAGGAGTTCAAGACTAGCCTGGCCAATATGGTGAAACCCCGTCTGTACAAAAAATACAAAAATTAGCCGGGCGTGGTGGCGCACGCCTGTATTCCCAGCTACTCTGGAGGCTGAGGTCGGAGGATCTGCTTGACCCCAGGAGGTCGAGGCTGCAGTGATCCATGATCCTGCCACTGCACTCCAGCATGGGCAAGAGGGTGAGACCCTAGTTAAAAAAAAAAAAAAAAAAAAAAGGAGGCGAGGGGTTGGGGGACGTGGGAGGAATGAAGTTTTTCTTTTGATAGCAACCTACGGGAGGGGATTCAAGCCTTTATTAGTTGGGAGACTTGTACTAGATGGGATGTTCTTTCTCTTCCTGTCCCTAGACCCCCCCATCTCAGAATGTGCTAGACATTAGTTGCCTTAAGGGCAGTGTTGTGAAGATTAATGTATGTGGAAGTGCTTTGTAAGATGCATAGTAAAAGGTATTTTGTAATTTAATCTCTTCAGACAAGGCATATCACAAAGCATCATTACATTTTAAAGAGTTGAAAATTACAAACAACTTTCTTTGGCCATAGGGCAGTAAAACTGGAAATTCATAACAAAATTGGAAAAAAAGACCTTTCTATCTGGAAACACTAAAAAGTATGAGGGAGCATAGTCCTATGAGTTTTTATTAAATATTTTCTAATAACTCCATAATTAACACTGTACATTGTACAGGTACATGAATAGATAGACCAAGGGACTAGAATAGAAAGTGCAGAAATATCTATTCCTATGGAAATTTAGTGTATAATAAACATGACATTTCAAAAATCAATAGGGCAAAAAATGACTTTTTAAAAAATAGACTGGTTTTTAGAGCCTTTTTAGGTTCACAGCACAATAGACCAAAGGTACAGAGATTTCTCATATCCTTCCTGTGCTGACACATGGATAGCCTCCTCCATGATACATCCCCTCATTAGAGTGGTGTATTTGTTGCAATTGATAAACCTACATTGGCACATCATTTTCTTTTTCTTTCTTCTTTTTTTTTTTTTGAAATGGAGTTTTGCTCTTATCGCCCAGACTGGAGTACAGTGGCACAATCTCAGCTCACTGTAAACCTCCACCTTCAGGGTTCAAGCGATTCTCCTGCCTCAGCCTCCTGAGTAGCCAGGACTACAGGCACCCGCCACCACGGCCGGCTAATTTTTGTATTTTTTAGTAGAGACGGGGTTTTGCCATGTTGGCCAGGCTGGTCTCGAACTCCTGACCTCAGGTGATCCGCCCATCTCAGCCTCCCAAAGTGCTGGGATTACAGGCGAGAGCCACCGCACCTGGCCTGGCACATCATTTTCACCCAAAATTCGTAGTTTATATTAAGGCATACTATTGATATTGTACATTTTATGGGTTTGGGCAAATTTATAATGAAATGAATCCACCATTATGGTGTTATACAGAGGAGTTTCACTTAGAAAATGATAAAATTCAGTTTATATCTCACACTGTACACAAGAATAAACTCCAAGTGGATCAGAAAAATGTAAAGAAATGAAACTACACAAGTTGTGAGTACACTTGGCAATACAAAAAAAATGTAGCTACACAAGTGCTAGAAGAAAATAAGGGTAAATTCCTCTATAATCTAGGTGTATGGAAGGCATTTCTAGCTATGACTCAAAATTCAGGTATAATATTAGATTAAAATTTGACTGCATGAAACGTTTGCCAGAAACACTATAAGCAAATTTGAAAGACAAATACAAAGTGGGAGAAAATATTTGCAACACTTATCTCATATAAAGGACAGTAAAAGCCCTTGTATGGAAAGAACTTTTAAAAGGGGGTAAAAGGCTGAAAATCTGGTAGAAAAATGAGCAAATGATAGAGGGGGAAAAAACAACATTAAAATGGCCTTTAAACTAGGATGTTTAAGTTTACTCTTAAGAGAAAAAGCTACACTGAGATACAACTTCTCTCGTATCATATTGGCAAAAATTTGAAAAGCTCTGGTAATACTCTTGGTGAGGCCGTGAAGAAACTGGCACACTCAAATTTTATATCAAATGGTGCAACTCTTTTGGCATGTCTAACTATGTTTACTTTATGACCCAGTAATTCCTCATTTAGGAATTTATTCTGGAGATATAGCTCCAAAAATGTGTAAATATTTACATAGTGTTACTGTACTTGCAAATTATTGGAAATAACCTAAATGCCTATGCAGGCAAGAATAATTGAATAAATTATGGCCCATTTACACTGAGATATACTAAGATGTAAAAAAGAATAAAGGCGATATCTGAACTGATAGTGGTGATTTCTAGGATATATTTATGAAGTTTTTAAAAAGCACATAACAAAAGAAAATATATAGTAAGCTACTATCTATGTAAAAAAGGGAAGAGATAATGAAATATGTGTTTTTAATCACTTTGCAAAAAAGAAATAAAGGAATGATAAGCCAAAAATTAACGAGATGGTTATGCATAGGGGATGTACGAGTATGAGATAGAAGAATGTGGATGGGGTGACTTTTGTATAGTTTTGATTTGGGTAATCACGTTAATGTTTTACATTCTAAAGTCATAATAATAAAATCAACAAGGTTGGAAAAGTTATTTTTTAAAACACCCTAATATAGAATATAAAAAGTAACACATGAACCTATTTAAGTGGGAGAGGGAGAAGTTACCCAAGTCACTTTTTTTAAACACAATACTTTAATTATATGTCCTCAATCTAAGACAGAAAGAATTGAAAACAAACTGAATTCTAGTTAGTACAGTAAGTCCTCATTTAACGTTCTCAGTAGGTTCTTGGAAGCTGCAGCTTTAAGGGAAATGACCTATAATGAAACCAGTTTTACCACAGGCTAATTGATAGAAACAAGATATAAGTTCCAGTGGCATATTTCTGGTCACAAAAACATCACCAAACTTGTAAATAAAGACCCAAAACATTTCTAATCTTAAACATTGAAGTAAATGTGAGCTACATAAACATTTAAGAAGGATTAATGAAAATAAATAATTACTCAATTTTTGGTGAATTGTTATGTGACCATGGTCATAGTAGTGGTGGGTTAAATCAAGGAATAAATGTTTACAAATGGAAAATTGTAAGGAGCACCTCTTACCACTGAACAGTTCAAAACAAGTGTGGCAGGTTCACTGAGTGCTTTCATACTGACTTGTTTATTGTGCACTTGAATGATTAGCATATGCATTACAAATTTTTGTTTTACATACTTTGTATTCACTTCTTCCTTCATTTTCCAACCTGCTTATTCCGGTTCAGGGTCACAGGTGGCCAGAGTTTATCCTGGCAGCTCAGGGCACAAGGTAGGAACCAACCCTGGACAAGATACCATCTCATCTCAGGGCACACACACACACACGTGCACTCATTCATGCTGGGACTATTTAGACATGCCAGTG